GCGGGCCGGACGGGCCAGCGCTGCCCGAGCGCGGGGGACATGGCCGCTGGCTCTCCGAAGGAGGCGGAGCCCCACTCGGCGGCAAACACGGGGGGGAGTGAGAAGGGGCGGGCCTTCTCAGAAGGCTCGGAAGTTCCCTGGCCTTCTGAGAAGTTTTCTAAGCCTTCCCGGAAGACAGACAAAAACCTTTCGGAAGGCGCAGTGGGTTCTGAGAAGTCCCGCCGCCTTCTCAGAAGACCTTCTCCTTCTCACTTCATCCCCTCGCTCGCGGCCAACCCGCTCCCCCCACCCCTGCCTCTGACGGACAGGGGGCACGGAGGACCAGGGGGTGGCGGGATGATCACGATGACGATGGCGATGAGCGCCATCGTCATCGACATCATCACCCATCGTCGTCCTCGTTGTCATCGTCGTCGTCACAGAGCGGAAGGACAAAAAGGAGCAGATAGGCAGGGGGAGGAAGAGGAGAAGGAGGAGGAGGAAAAACAGGAGGAGGAGGAACAGGGGGAGAAGGCGGAGGAGGAAGAAGAGGAGGAGGAGGAAGAGGAGGAGGAGGAGGAGCAGGAAGAGGATGAGGAGGAAGAGGAGGAGGAGGAGGAGGAGATTAAGGGGAGGGAGGAGGAGGAAGAGGAGGAGGAGGATGAGGAGGAGGAGGAGGAGGAGGAGGGGAGGAGGAGGAAGGAGGAGGAGGAGGAGGAGGAAGAGGAGGAGGAGGAGCAGGTCAAGGAGGAGGCGGAGAAGGGAGGAGGGAGCCTGTCCACCTCTCTCCCTCCAGCCCTGGCTCTGTTCGTTGGCACGGCTGGTAAAGTATCTGTCATCCCTCTCTCTGTCAGGTGCCCACGCGCGTGTTCGTGCCTGCTCCGTGCGAGCCCTCAGTAGGCTCTTGTTCTGTCCCAGATCCAGCTTCCTGGAGAAGCACACGGATGCCGTTCTCCCGCTGCTGGTACCTCCGGCGCTTCGAAGGAGATTGAGGTGGCCACCCGTAAGGCTGGTATCTTTGTGTAGGTGGCTTGTGTGTTTCTTGCTTTCTTTTTCCCCATTATTCACATCATCGTCAACATCCTCACCCCCTCCTCCCCCTCCTGGTCGTCGTCGTCGTCATCATCATACCTCATCATCATCATCATCACCACCATAATCATCATTATTTGTCCTGGTCCACCTTCTGCTCCTCCTCCTCATCAGGGCCGCGCCATTCGTTTCCTGTCAACATCCATTCGCCACCTGGTTGATGGTACTGACGATGATAACGGGGAGGAGGAGGAGGAGGAGATGGTGGAGGGATGATGATGATGATGATGATGATGATGATGATGATGATGATGATGATGATGATGATGATGATGATGATGATGATGATGATGATGATGATGATGATGCTGATGATGGTGATGGTGATGGTGATGGTGATGGTGATGATGAGGAGGAAAGCAGCCGACTGAGTAAATAAGCTCCTCCCCGCCTCATATTTAATTAATACATAGCTTAGTTTGCATGCATTGCACTGTCCTCTGGAACTAACAGCTGCGTTCCGCAGCTGTCTGACTGCTCGAACAAGCCAACCTTGGCTTGCAGGAGAGATAAGGATCGCGCCAGCCCTCGGCCGTCGTGCGTCGTCGGTTGTAGGCCAGCCGGCTTCTCCCCTTCCCATTTCTGATAGAGTAGTCTTGCTTAACGGATACTTGTCTTATCAATGTCTCATCCCGTCCCCTCTCTCCCTGATCAGAGTGAACATGAGATCTTAATTCCTTTGTCATCTTACCCTGATTCTTAGAGGCGCGACTTAGTCGACGCGGGGCCGTCACATCCCAAAGAAGAACTTTCAAATGTGCCCCGCGACTCAGTCGCTGCGGGAACGAGCTATGATAAGACTGACATCGTGTCCAATATCTCGAGAAGCGCCGACGGGCGCGTTGTGCAACAGGATGGACACGACACAAACAAGGACGGTCTAATTCAGGACCGAGTCCCTCCTTCATACATCGCCACTCGGGTAGCAAGGGGCAGAAGTACCGAGGGAGTATCAGAGATGTCGGTAGACGTCTCTCCCGTGGGAGCTCCGATCGGTGATCGCGAGCAAACCCCAGACCCGTACGGGCGAGATGGCGTAACATCAAGACCTAGACGAAGTGCGTTCTCGTCATGGAGTGCCGAATCGACGGAGTCAATCAGCCCAATTCCGAACGCTACACATGCTATCGCTACTGCCGCTGGTGAAGCCGGCCGGCCAGGGGAAGTCCAAGAGAACGTGAATACGTACCCTCGTATCCCAACCGAATGGGTGGGTACGAGTGCCAACGTTCCCGTCCCAATAGCACTTAACGGTCAGTTTGGTCAGGACAGTGATGGCCCAACTGAAAAAGATAATGCAATATCTCCAATGGAGGAAGATTTTGATAGCATCAATGACGACATTTCCCTGAGCCGAGCATTGTCCGTGATGGTGGAAGAAGACGTCCCTGCTCAAGACGAAAGATGGTCTCCAGATGGATCCGATGAAGACACTCGTATCCTGACGCGTCAGGTGGACAGGGCGGAGGCTCAGACGAAGCATGAGAGGGGGTCCACAGGACGAACCCCTGCGCCTCACCTCAAGAAACAAAGGAACGAGGACTACGAGCTAAACGTCTCACCACTGCAAGAAGGTTTCTTCCGTAATGCCGCCACCTCAGGTGACTGGCAACCCTCGATTCCAGCTGTTGTTGAGGATGAAGAAATGGTCGGACAACCAGCTACGTATGCTCAGCTAATAACACAAGACGAAAAGGATGAGGAGTTTTTAAATGCGCCTAAACCACAAAAAAATACCTTCGTTCGCCCCAGATCAAATGCATCAAGCAGGGGAAGGCCCAAGATGCCAAGATCAGGGGCGAGATCTACGTCAAGGAGCAATAGTGCCGTCTCCATGGCGGAGGCCTGTTGGAACCCTAACCCTAACTGCGCGCCTCAGGCGGAGAGCAGATGCCCAGGTACAGTCAACAGGCCAGAAGGCGCACGTAGGAATCCAGTGTGCAAGAGTTGCTCGGACGTTTGCCATAAGTGCAACGTGCAGTGGCTGCGTGCAGAGCGTTACCCAACGGACGAGCACAACTGCGCATATCTCCTCATGCATTCTATTCAGGGCCAGGCCAGGCTGGCGGAGGCTAACACTCAGAGAGAGTTTCTGACCAATGAAGCGCAGCTGGCTGGGAGGGCCCGAATGGACAGAGAAGAATTAACTGAAACTGTGGTTGAAGTTCGAAACAAATTCGAGGCTGAACGGGTCGCCGTAGCCATGGCTGCTAGAGAGCGGGAACAAGCGCTGATAGAACAATTGCACAATCAGACCGCGGCCGTTAAGCGGCAAGTGGGGCTGGAAGCCGAAAATAAATAAAGAGAATTATTGATTTCGGAGAGACAGGCCGTCACGATGGCAAACAATGAATCTGTCGACGCCAATGCGGTCGCCGCGGCTGTTGCGGTGGCCAGAATAGAAGGATAACAGATCGCTACAGTCATGGCTGAACGAGAAAGTCAGAGCTTACAAGAAGAGCTCAAAAAAACGCCAGGTTGGAAGCAATTCACACCCAAGCTGTAGCTGCGAAGAGAACCGACCAGAGCAATCTTTATTTGGAAGAACACAAATCGCATGAAGAAGTTAGATCTTCCCTCCAGCGCATAAAATCGAGCAGTATTAAATGCCCGCCGGCTAAGCCGACTGGAACGAACGCACATCAATTGTCGACGGCTCAGTCGTGCGGCACCGCGCCCGTTCCAACGCAGTTTGATCAGACGACCTTAGCAAATGCGGGGGCGTCAACCCTGCCAGTGGGAAATGTGACGCATCCTCCTCCCGAGGAGAGGGGAAATACATTCTCCGTGGCCCAATTCTGCGCAGTCTGCTTTCGTCCAAAGACGGGCAATGGCGTCGGATGTGGTAGGTCGGCATGTGAAGAGCATATCGGTGCAAGCACTAGAAGATGCTCTAGATGTGACTTGTGGAAGAGTGAAGGGTCAGCTGCCAACATGCGAGAAGAAGAGGCTATTTCGAACGCAGCTAATGCAGAGAAAGGAAAGATGAGGCTTAAGGCTATCATCACCGACCCGACTCCATATACTGAGAATAAACGAGAAGCCGGACTCGCGCCAAGTTCATTCGGCTTTCCGTTGCTTTCGCAAGAAACTCCCGTGAGACCGTTGTTGCGTCAGCACTTTACTGTTCCAGGCCCTGCCCTAGGAGGTCTGGCTAGGCCGAGCACCACCGAGAGCGGACTTCCTGTTGGGATTAAACTAACTGGGCCTGACGAAGGTAATGCCCTCGCCAGTTACCGCCCATCCTATGGAGATGGTCCTACGGGAACGACGGCGACTACGTCGTCGGGCGAGGCGGGGCAGGGCGGAGAAGGGGGCGACAAGAGCGACGCTCCTAACACCGAGATCGTACCTTCACACGAAGATGATCATGGTAAAAGACCACGTGGGTCGCCTCCGGGAAGCCCGGGGGGTTCAGATCCCTCTGGTGGTGGAGGTGGCCGCAGGGGGCCTCAGGGCCCCGGCGGACCGCGTGACTCAGTAGTAATTGGCGAAAGCGCGCCGTTGGATCAATGGAGACAGGTTGGTAACAACCAGAACATTGATTTATTGGACATCCTTGATGTAACGAACATTCGGGAGTGGCAAATGCACGCAGTACGTGCGATCGCTGGATCATCGCCCGAGAGCCAGGCTGCACAGCACTGGATTACTGAGGCTATGAATCCAGCTGTGGAGGATGAGCAACTGAAAGATGCAGGGCGGTTCCAGCGTCTCGATCTCATGATCGCAACGAACCTCATCGAGAAATTCGACAAGATGCGAAATAATCGGTATCAGCCTGGTCATCATACTAATTTCCTCTAACAGATCACTCGTATGGAATACAGCGCCCAGAACGAGGGAAGACTTATGACTGGACGCGAGATGGTGCGAGCCATTTGCCATTGGTGTTCGGTGAGATCGGAGTTGGGACAACACTTCATTTCGCGTGACATCTTCAAGGTAATCATTGACCCACATAAGCCGGATGCTGACCTGTATCATTTCAA